AAAACTGCATATATGAGTAATACCATCACTTTGGAATCTGGAATTTTTGCCATTTTGGTTGCAATGAAGTTCCATTTCTAACTTTAAAATACAGAATTCTGGGCCCTTGCTGTTGGTGAATCTGGTGCTCATATAATATTTAAGGGTATTTCAAAGAGAAAGTGCATTTTTTCCCAAGTACTCTGTACCCATTACACCTTGCAGTCTTTTTGTTTCATTGTATAAATAAATATTCTGTAGCTATTGTTATCCAAAACATGTTTGAGGTATATTATACCTGGAATTTTCGTTTTTCTCCTCACACGTAGTATTTCATAGTATCTGGTATAGAAATAACAAAGATGCCAAATATGTAGAGTTTGAAGGAAAGAGGAGGATAACATCTAGCTGTGCTGCTTTTGTTTACTAGACTTAGTTGTTAATAATATTTCTTGTATTTTGTTTGGGGGCTCTTTTTTGGTTTTGGTTTTGGAAAAGGTAAATTTTCATCATTGAATCATATGACATGGAGGTAAGACTGAGGGGGAGGGGAACTGCTCAGCTATTCTTACACTGAAATTGTTATATAAGCCAACGTGAGATGTTAAGACTGTCACGTAATTGGTGGGATTAAGTTTACTGTTTTATTTTTATAAATATATATTTTTTTCTGAATGTGTCTGAGTCCAAGAGTGGGCAAAAAATTAATTTTCTACTTCAGGTTAATCTATAAAGATTTTGAAAGTTTGTATTACTAACTTGTTGAATTCATGACACCACTTGTAAATCTTTGTTTTTCTAAAATAAAGTTATTGAAAACATGAAAAAAAAATTGGCACCTCTATGGGATGGGCACTGCACCACAGTGCCAGTCCTAGTTTTACTTTTTAATTGTTGAATTTTTTTATTTAGTGGGACCATTAAGTCTTGGAACATAATATATGTAAAATGTTATCTCTAAAATTAAAAATTAAAGAAATAAGTAGTTTAGATATAGAATCTTTTAAAATTTTTTTTTGACAGGCAGAGTGGACATAGAGAGACAGAGAGAAAGTTCTTCCTTTTGCCATTGGTTCACCCTCCAATGGCTGCTCCGTGCTGATCTGAAGCCAAGAACCAGGTGCTTCTCCTGGTCTCCCATGCGGGTGCAGGGCCCAAGGACTTGGGCCATCCTCCACTGCACTCCTGGGGCATAGCAGAGAGCTGGCCTGGAAGAGCGGCAACTGGGACAGAATCCGGCACCCCGACCGGGGCTAGAACCTGGTGTGCCAGCACCACAAGGCAGAGGATTAGCCTAGTGAGCCATGGCGCAGGCCTGAATCTTTTAAATTTTTTTATTTGAGAGACATAAAGAGAGAGCCTTATACAGCAAATATGCAGGGACATTTTGAATTGTTTGCATACTTTCTAGGAATTTATGGGCACAAAACTTTCTCTTGTGAAATATGAAATCCTTTTAAATCATATGGCAAGTTCTTTAATGTTATTACTTCTAATAATTAACTATATTCTTGCAAATTATAATTTTAATGGTGGTATGGTAGTGTATGCTATGGAAATTTGATTTTTATAAATTTGAATGTTGGATTATTTTAATTTTTTAGTATTATAAAAATGCTGCAACAAACATTGTGTAAATATTTCTTTTTACATTTTTTGACAAGACATTGTATTTGCATTGAAACTGGTACAGCAAGAATTTCTTCTTTTTTTTTAAATTTTAGCTCCCACATAAAAGGGAGAACATGCAGTATTTATCTTTTGGTGTTGGTTTATTTCTCTCAACATGATGTCCTCCAGTTGTAACCATTTTGATGCAAAGATAGAATTTCATTATTTTTCTATCTGAATAATAATCCATTGTGTGTGTGTGTGTGTGTGTGTGTATCACATATTCTTCATCTATTTTTCTGATGACAGATACCTTGGTTGGTTCCCTATCTTACCTTTTGTGAACAGTGCTGCCCTAAATAATGTTGGTACAGGTATTTCTTTGATACATTGTGTTCATGTCTTGGATATATGCCCAATGATGGGAATGCTGGGTCATATGGTAAATCTATTTCTAGGTTTTTATGATATTGCCAGTTTTACAGTTTTTGCACTACTTTTCATTCCACAGTGTATAAGAGTTCCCCTTTCTCCATATCCTCGCCAGCATTTGTTACTCTTTGTCTTGTAGAAAATAGCTGTTCTATCAGGGGTGAGGTAGTATGTTATTGTGGTTTTGATTTGCATTTCCCTGATGCCTGATAATTTTGAACATTGTTTCTCATAGTTGTTTGCCATTTTTGTTTCTTCTTTTGAGAACTTTCTGGTGAGGTCCTTCTTTTGCCCATTTCTTTACTGGATTGATTGTTTTCCTATCATTGAATTTTTTTTTTATATCCTGGATAGGTAGCTTACAAATATTTCCCATTGTTTTGGATGTCTCTTCACTCTGTTTTTTCTTTCAGTTGATCTACAGAAGCTTCTGAGTTTGATATAATCCCATTTTTTCTAGTTTTGGTTTTATTGCCTGTGATTTGGGGGTCATATGCAAGAAAAATGTTTCTTTACATGTCCAAGTATTTTACATTGAAAAAAAAAAGCTTCAATATAAATTATTGGGTTAAATTCTAAGAAGCTTTTAAAACATCTAATTTTCTAAATGGCTCTCAAAATTAATATTAATTTATAATTCCACCAGAACATGTGATATCTATTTTTTCCCAACCTAGAATGGTTTTTGACTCCTATTGGTTTATTCTTAACGCATATAGAGTGAGAATGAGGGGACGTGATTACTGATTAGTTTTCCAAAACCTTTTCATGCATAGAAAAAACAACCTCTATTGTATTTCTAATAATTACATGTATGTTTATAAATCATAACTTATTAGTGATTAGTTAACTGTCTTTCCTAATTGATGGTAATTAGGACTATGCAAAGAAAAGGCAATTTTTAACTTTTAATTTTACTGGATAATTTCAAAATTGCTTTTGTATAATATTTATCAGAGGTACTGATAACAAATTTACCATTTATCAAAGTGTTCTTTCAAGCATATCTGTCTTTTGAAGAAGAGATTGAAGTGAGACATAAGAAACATAATAATTACAAAGAAAAATATTTGATATAAAAATGTATTAGAATATATAAGCTTCTTAATAGGAGCCAAATTACAAAATGAACATTTTCTTTTCTAACAAAATGAATACTAAGATAAGGATTTTTACCTTAAGAATAAGAGAGCAGATAAGTCAACAACAGGAGTCACTGTGCACTTACTCCCCATGTGGGAATCCATGTCCTTAATGTGTTGTACAATGTGAATTAATGCTATAACTAATACTCAAACAGTATGTTACACTTTGTGTTTCTGTGTGGGTGCAAACTGTTGAAATCTTCAGTTAATATATACTAAATTGATCTTCTGTATATAAAATTCATTGAAAATGAATCTTGGCCGGCGCTGTGGCTCAATAGGCTAATCCTCTGCCTGCGGCGCCGGCACACCGGGTTCTAGTCCCGGTAGGGGCACCAGATCCTGTCCCGGTTGCCCCTCTTCCAGTCCAGCTCTCTGCTGTGGCCCGAGAGTGCAGTGGAGGATGGCCCAAGTCCTTGGGCCCTGCACCTGCATGGGAGACCAGGAGAAGCATCTGGCTCCTGGCTTTGGATCAGCACAGAGCGGCCTTTGGAGGGTGAACCAACAGTAAAGGAAGACCTTTCTCCCTGTCTCTCTCACTATCCACTCTGCCTGTCAAAAAAAAAAAAAAAAAAAAAAAAGAATCTTGATGTCAATGGAATGGGAGAGGGAACTGGAGAGGGGAGGGTTGTGGGTGGGAGGGAAGTTACGGGGAGTGGGGGGGAACACTGTAATCCAAAAGCTGTACTTTGGAAATTCATACTTATTAAATAAAAGTTAAAATAAAAAATAAGGGTAAAAAAGAATAAGAGAACAGAATAAATGCTGATGTGTTCTATGAAAAAACTAGGGAACAGTTAGGGAGAATCAAGGAGCAATATTGCAGAGAAGTAGAGATGAACGAACATCTTGAACTGACGGTTAGCACAATAAAAACAGAATTGAGGACTTTGAAAAATGATTTGAATCAGGTAAATTAATTGTTGCTAAAAATTTACATTTCTAAATTTAATCATTACTAAGTAGTATGTTGCCTTCATTTCATCTATATATATATTATATATATAACATATATATGTTAGCAATCTAAAATTTATTTTAAAAATAAATTATGATATGTTTTCTAAAATTATTCATTGTAGAGCTTGGCACCTACTGGTACTCAGTGCATGTTTTCTCTATAAAGCAATGAAAGGTGAATTGAGTTCAACCATTCACATACAGCTTGATTTAGCCATGTTTATATTAAAATTCAGGCTAAATAGCTGTGAAATTATAATAAAATTATTTAAATGTTTTGTAAAGAAACTTTATTTTACAGTTTCATCTCTGCCTGAATTTGAGAACTGTTTTTGCTATTTGATGAGTTTAGCTGTGATTCATGACATTTTTTGTTAAATTTTTAAAATATTTTATTTATTAATTTGAGAGGTAGGGTTACAGACAGTGAGAGGGAGAGACAGAGAGAGAGGTCTTCCTTCCATTGGTTCACTCCCCAAATGGCTGCAACAGCCAGAGTTATGCCAGTCCAAAGCCAGGAGCCAGGAGGTTCATCCAGGTCTCCCACATGGTTGCAAGGACCCAAGGACTTGGGCCATCTTCTGCTGCTTTCCCGGGCCACAGCAAAGAGCTGGATGGGAAGTGGAGCAGCTGGGACTAGAACTGAAACCCATATGGGATGCCAGTGTTGCAGGTGGAGGATTAACCTACTGTGCCACCGCACTGGCTCCATGAAATTAAAAATTAATTATTTCCTGTAAGATACAGGCCCTGGTGCTTTGGTAGGTTGCTTCCTCTTAACAGAATTTTTTAAAAATTGTCACTCTTAAATAAGCCGTTAAACTATTTTTCCTGAAAGCCATGACATGACCAACTTATGAAATATGTCTTTAGGTGAGAGAACAGGAAAACAATCCCCAGAGTTCTCTCTCAAGCCAAGAGAATGCAGAAAAACTACAAGATGAGATGCAACTGATTTACCTTTGCCAAAAAAAGGAGGTAAACATTGCACCAAAGGAAGAGAATTATGAGGTATTTTTCTTTATTTGTTGTCAAATATGCATGTGTATGTTTTCGTATGTGTATAGATCTATACAACCGCTTGCATCATGGAACATATAGGACACTTTTAATCCAAATATGTGTGTATTTTGTAGAAATAGTGGTGGTGGTGACATTTTCAGCCAGTTTGGTAATGTCATGTTAATTCAACTGCGCTTGTCTGTGACTCTCTGAGAGTGGCATTTGCTATGTCCTCTGGGATTCTTGTTCTTCGCAAAAGAAATGACCTGAATTTGCTGCTGGCTACTTTTCTTAGCTTGCTTCCTCTCCATAAAACCTTCAAGGTTCAGACATCTGTGTCTATTCATAATTATTTCTATTTTAATGCAAGCTGCAAAAATGTATTTCATTTAGTTATTTAAATTCATTTTTAAGATTTTATTTTAGGTATACAAAATTATTGTATTCCAGGTACACAGATTTAGGAACATACTGATGCTTCCCACCCTACCCTCCCTTCTGCTCATGCTTCCACCATTCCATCCCCTTCCTCTCCTATTCCCTCTTTTAACTTGTATACTGATCTACTTTCAGTCTATTTATACTCAAAATATTTACCATACACTAAGAGTTCAACAAATAGTAAGAAGATAAAAAAAAAAAACACTGTTCCCTAGTAGTAGAGAGCCGTTAGTAATCATCAATGGTCAGATATCAATTTTCACTCCCATATATTACATTTTTGGTATTTGTCTTTTTGGGACTTAGTAATCATCAATGGTCAGATATCAATTTTCACTCCCATATATTACATTTTTGGTATTTGTCTTTTTGGGACTTATTTCATTAATTAGAATGGTTTACATTTGAACCCATTTTGTTGCAAAACACAGTATTTTGTTTCTTTTTAAGGCTGAGTAGTATTCCATGGTGTGTGTGTGTGTGTGTGTGTGTGTATGCATGCATATGTATATATATACACACATACATGCAATTTCTTTACCCATTCATCAGGTGATGAACATCTGGTTAGATTCCATATGTTAGCTATTGTGAATTGAACTGCAATAAACATGAGGGTACAGATAAATCTTTCATAAGCTGATTTCATTTCCCTCAGGCAAATTCCTAGTAAGGGGATTGCTGGGTCTTACGGCAGATCTATTTTTCAGGTTTCTAAGGTATCTCTACACTGACTTCCACAATGGCTGTACTAGTTTACATTCCCACCAAAAGTGGATTAGGGTATCTTTTCCCTTACATCCTCACCAGGACGTGTTTGTTTATTTTTCAAGCTAATGAAACATTTTATTGTACATAATAAAAGTGGTATTTTTTAAAAATAATTTCCAGGCCAAATCTGCAGGAATACATGAGGAATGGATTCCACTGAAGTATAATTAGCAATACTTTATGGAATGCATCATTAATCCACTCCACTTCTCATAGTAAATACAGATGCTCACTATAGACTTGAAATGCCTATAACATCAGTAATTCTATTCTTTAAAACAGTACAAATATGCTTATGATGCATAGGAAGATGAAAAAATTTAGACTGGAATGGCATACCATATGTAATGTCAGCTTTTCTAATTTACAGCCAGTTAAGAATTACAGTATATCCAAATAATGCATTTTAAAATCGTATATGACTCATTAGTAAGAGATTTTTCTACTTAATAAATAGGAAAATTTGAATTTTGATATTACATTGAATTTCATCACTTTTCAAGAAAAAAACAGAGTCATAAGTTCAGGTTTTTTTTTATAAACAAATACTGACAGCAGTATTTTTATAACAGGAAATTATAAAAAAATACAAATATGCAGCAAAAGGATAAGTATCTAATCTATTCTTAAAATGGAATAGCCTACAAAATTAAAATGAATACACTATGGCCACATGCAATAATGCACAAGTCTTTAAAATGTTGAGTGAAGCAGGACACAATTCATGATGTATGTTCATATATAAAACATGCAAAAAACTGCTTTATGACATTATAAGCCAGGGAAGTGGTAATCTTTGGAGAAAAAACTAGCTACTCTTTTTTTTTTTTATAGGTAGGTTAACATAAGGTTTATTCAGGACAGAAAATGAATGACGTGACCTCAGGAGACACAAACCCAGGGACTTTTGAAGAGTCTTGGAAAGATTCCAAAGTAATCAAATTTTAGTCAGAATCTATGTACTCCATAACAGTAGATTTTATTTATCATTACACAGTGAACATATATTGATTTGTCCTGCAAAGTGGACTTAGGTAAGTGAGAGCAAATTTCTCCCAGGTTGTTGGCTGCTGTTTTCTTTTTTTTATCTTTTATTTAGTAAATATAAATTTTCAAAGTACAGTTAATGGATTACAATGACTCCCCCCCCATAATTTCCCTCCCACTCACACCCTTCCCATCTCCTGCTCCCTCTCCCATTCCATTCACATCGATTCATTTTCAATTATCTTTATATACAGAAGATGAATTCAGTATATATTAAGTAAAGATTTCATCAGTTTGCACCCACACAGAAACACAAAGTGTAAAATACTGTTTCAGTACTAGTTATAACTACTCTTTATTACACAGAGTACAATGAGGAAGAGTTCAGAGATGTTTTCTTTCTTTTCAAGAGAGACTGATGCTTATAACCACTTTATAATTTGCCTCTGCATGTATTTTTTAATAAAGTATGAGTTAAAAACTTTAAAAAATAGTTCATAGCTAGTAAGAGTTCACTAACAATGATTACACCCATTTCATACACTAGTAAACAGTAGTTATGTAATATGGTACTTAATAATCAGGATTATGTTTGTGATTAAAATTACATAAACATGTAAAACATGCTTTCTTTAAGAAACCATAAAAGTAAAAAATAACTTTGGAATAATTCACAAAGTAATCAGATAATTTACTGCATTTCCGTCTTTTCTGCTTTATGAGTTCTCTGATGGAAAGTGACATTTACCTTGTAATGAAAGAACTTACACACTCATTGCAAACTTCTCACCTGTGTGAGTTCTCTGCTGTACAATGAGATTGGTCTTCTAGTGGAAGCACTTTCCACATTCATTACATTTATATGGTTTCTCTCCCATGTCTGTTCTTTGATGATGAATGAGATATGACTTCCTACTAAAAACTTTGCCACTTTGAGGACATTCATAGGATTTCTGCCCTGTGTGTATTTTCTGATGTACAGTGAGGATTGCTTTCTGGCAAAAGAACTTCCCACATACATTACAGATACAGAGTTTCTCCCCTATATGAATTCTCTGATGTAGAATGAGATTTGTCCTCTGACTGAATGACTTCCCACGTTCATTACATTCATATGCTTTTTCCCCTGTATGAGTTCTGTGGTGATCAGTGAGGTATGACTTCATTATAAAGGCCTTCCTACAGTGAGGGCATTCATAAGATTTCTCTCCTGTGTGTGGTCTCTGGTGTGCTACAAGGGTTGTCTTTTGGCAGAAATACTTTCCACATTCATTACTAATGTAAGGTTTCTCCTCATTAAGAGTTTTCTCATGAAGAGCAAGGGTTGTCTTTTGGGAGAAGGATTTCCCATATTCATTACAAATATATGGCTTTTCCCCTGTATGAGTTCTCTTTTGGACAGTAAGATTTGCCTTTTGGTGAAAGGACTTCCCACATTCTTTACAAATTTTGAGTTTCTCCTCAGTGTGAATCCTCTGATGTAGAGATAGTGTGGTCTTCATTGCTTTCATACGGTTTCTCTTCTGTATTCTCTGACTGAGGTGTGACTTCAATCTGAAGGCATTCCTACATTAGGAACATTCATATGCTATCTCCCCTGTATGTGTTCTCTGGTGATCAGTGAGGGCTGTCTTTAAATGGAAAGACTTACCACATTCACTACAAAGGGTTTCTCTCTTGTGTGAGTTCTTTGGTGATCAATGAGATATTACTTCCTTCTAAATGCATTTCTACATTGATGGCACTGATAAGGTTTTTCCTCTGTGGAAATTCCCTGATGTATAATCAATACTGACTTCCTGCAAAAGGATTTCCCATATTCAGAGCATGTATTTTTTTAATATTAGTTGCTCTTCTCTTTTTATTGTACACAGATGAGCTTTTCCCCTCTGTATGCTCTGCTATGTGTAATTGTAATTAAGCCTCCCGTTTTAAGGAATTATTTCTCACTGCATCATATCCAAATGATTGACTGGAGTTCTCGTCTTCTGATACTGTATAAGCCCTTCATTATGACTGAAAGCCCTAACACTTTGATTATTGGATTTGACTTGAGGATCAATTTTCTCTTGCTTTGTACTGAGGGGTGATTTCCCATGTCCGTTATACTCACTGAGTCTCTTTCTTGCTGGACATAGATTACTGATGATCGATTTTGAAACACTTTCCAAAATCTTTCCATGAATATCATTCAGGAGGTAAGATTTTTGAATTATCAGAATTTTTGCCTTGAGTGATTGACTTTGACTTTTCATATATGTTACTCTTCTCTTTAATTGGTTTCTTATAGTTGATGCATACAATTGATCTAGAATATTTATCGTTATGTTCCTTGAATTTCACTGACAAGTCTTTGGTTTTCTGGTTCTCTTCTAAGGTGTGACCTACAAATGGTGTCCATGGCTCTTCTCCTCATTCCAGTTTGAGGATCATATCAGGCTTGGTCGTGTGACACTGCACAGAGATGAAGTGCCAATAGTTTTCCAACATGATGTCCATGTAAAGAGTCTGCTGAGCAGGAACTAGGTGCTGCCACTCTTCTTGAGTAAAGTCCACAGTCACACCTTTGAATGACACTCATCCCTGTTCCATGGTTTTGAGATTTTCAAGAGATTACCAGGCTTTTCTTTGGGGTCCTCTTTAGAAAAGGGGTGGTTCCTGAGCACTCGATGAGGATTCCATGGTTGGAGGCTGCCTGGGTTGCCTGGGATCCTCTCCAACTGGGACAAATAAGACCCACCAGTGTGTAGGAGCCACAACATGCTTACAGGAAGAACTGAGGAGGCAACTGGAGAAGTTTACCAGCAACA